CTCCCTCCTCTCACCCACCCCCAACATCCCAACAATCAACAAAGAATCCCCCCCACCCCACCCCCCTTTAGTACGGGTTCTTTTCCTTAGTCTTTTAAGGTAGTGGTCCTATGCAGTATTTCTCTTTTTGTGACTGACTAATTTCACTCAACATAATGCCCTCAAGGTTCATCCATGTTAGGCAGTACTTACAGCTTCCTTGTTCTTCAAGGTAGCATAGTATTCCATTGTGTGTATGTACCACAGTTTGTTTATCCATTCTTCAGTTGATGGACACTTAGGCTGCCTCCATCTGTTTGCTACTGTAAATAGTGCTGCTGTGAACACTGGTATGCACACATCTTCTCGGACTGTGGCTCATTTTTCTTATGGGTAAATACAATTTGGATGCTTAATTTCCCTGTCTTACTGTATAGCTCTTGCTAAGACTTCCAGCACAATATTGAATAGGAGTGGTGACAAAGGGCATCCTTGCCTTGTTCTTGTTCACAGAGGGAAGGCTTTCAGTTTCTCTCCATTGAGAGTAATGTAGGCTGTTGGTTTTGTATATATGCTCTTAATTATGTTGAGCAATTTCCCTTCAATTCCTATTTTGTTGAGCTTTTTTTTTTTATCAGGAATGGATGTTGGATTTTGTCAAATGCCTTTTCGGCATCAATCGATATGATCATGTGGTTCTTTTCTTTTTTCTTATTTATATGGTGGATAATGTTGATCGTTTTTCTAATGTTGAACCATCTTTGCATCCCTCATATGAACCCCACTTGATCATGATGTATTATCTTTTTGATGTGTTGCTGGATCTGTTGGCTAGGATTTTGTTTTGAATTTTTGCATCTATGTTCATGAGGGTTATTTTGTCTTTAATTTTCTTTCTTAGTGACATCCTTCCCTGGTTTTGGTTTGAGGGTTATGTTTGCTTCATAAAACGTATTAGGAAGTTTTCCATCCTCCTCTATCTTCTGGAATAATTTGAATAGAATTGGTGACAACTCTTCCCGGCAGATTCAAAAGTACGCAATTTCTTACTTCTGCTTCAAGTTCCACTAGCTATAAGCCTTCAAACTTTTAAAATATTCATACCTATGTGGTTCTGAGTTTTGGAGCTCTGCCCTGGATCTGCTTTGCCTGGTATTCTGTGGTATGGGTGATGGCAAACTTCACTGCACCTCCATTCTAGCTGCCATCAAGCCCCATTCTGCCTGTACTTTATTGACTATGCAAAGGCTTTCGATTGTGTGGATAATGATAAGCTATAGACAACATGGCAGAGAATGAGTATTCTGGAATACTTAATTGTGCCAAGAGGCAGTTGATAAAACAGAAAAAGGGGACAGTGAATGGTTAAAAATTAGCAAAGATGTGTGCCAGCATTGTATTTTTTCACCATAATTATTCAGTCTTTATTCTAAGCACATAATCTCAGAAGCTGGATTATATGAAGAAAAATGTGGCATCAGGATTGGAGGAAGACTTACTAACAATCTGTGATATACAGATGATACAACCTTGCTTGCTGAAAGTGAAGAGGACTTAAAATTCTTATTGATCAAGATCAAAGACCGCAGCCTTGGATATGGGTTGCACCTCAATGTAAAGAAAATGAAGTCCTCAGCACTGGACCAATAAACAACATCTATAAATAGAGAAAAGATTGACATTGTCCAAGACTTCATTTTGCCCAGATTGACCATCAACACTCATGGAAGCATCAGTCAAAAAATTAATTGATGTATTGCATTAGTCAGTTTGATGATTAAGGTGCGCCTGACCCAAGCCATGCATGGTATTTTCAATAACCTCATATGCATGTAAAAGTTAGACAGTGAATAAGGAAGACTGTAGAGGAATTGGTGCATTTGAGTTATGGTATTGGAGGAGAATATTAAAAGTACTACCAAAAGAACAAACCAATCTGTGATGCAGCCAGAATGCTCCTTGGAAGCCAAATGGCCAGACTTTGTTTCTCGAACATATTGTCAGGAGGGACCAATCCCTGGGAAGGATATCGCATTTGGTGAAGTGGAGGGTCAGATAAAAAGAGGAAGACCCCCAGTGAGATGGATTGGCATGGTAGTAGCAGCAATGGGCTCAAGTATAGTAATGATTGTGAGGTTGATGTAGGACTGGGCATTGTTTCGGTCTCTCGTAGATAAGGTTGCTATGAGTCGGTACCGACTTGATGGCACCTGGAAACAACAACATCAATTTAATGTGTACTTTTTGTAGTTGTAGTTAAAGTTAAAATATGTTGTTGTGTGCCATTGAGTTGGTTCTTACTTGTAGTAACCCTATATAGGGTTTCTGAGGTTGTAAATCTCCATGGGAGCAGAAAGTTCATCTCTCTCCCTTGCAGTGGTTGGTGGATTTGAACTGTCAACCACATGGTTAACAGCCAGCATGTAACCCACTATACCACTAGGTCTCCAAAGTTAAACTACAGATCTTTTATTATCCTTAGTGACCCTACTTGGTTTCCAAATATTTATAGACTTTTAAATCACAGGGTTTTCTCTTTACTAAATAATGATAAATTGTATTTTCATCAGTATTTACGACCAGCTCTTCTTAAAATAAATGAATTGTGCTACCAGTTAAGCTTTATGGGACTCTGCCACATTGAAAAAGGGCATACTTACACTCTGACGGAATTTAAGGCTGCCCAAATCATACGACTAGAGGAGGTAAGAAATTGGGTCTGTAACATTCAAATTTTGGTCTCTTATTATTGCTACTTCAGTGCTATTAATTATACATATTCTTCCATATTTAGGTGACAGAGCACCTAGAAGAATTTCGAAATAAGGCAAAAGATGTGGTCAGGAAGGCTTGTCGGATTGCTCTCCGTGCTGTAGGATTTGTTCCTGATGACTGCACCTATGAATCTCATATGCGTATGAAGGGGGAAACACCCAAGCTTTTTAAAAAAATTCACTCTTCTTTAATTTAAATACTGATCCTGCCTTCCCATTCTGCCAAAATTTTGCTTGATATGTTATAAATTTAATGTTAATGAGCCTTGTAGGTTAAACACGAGAACGGTAACCACAAGGTCAGCAGTTCACACTCCCCAGCTGCTCTCAGAAATTCTCCTCAGGGTTGCTATGAGTCGGAACCAAATCAATGGCAGACAAGAACAACATGTACAATGGCGGGAAACACTGCATTTTCCTTGTAGTATTCATGCTTGTATATTATTTAACTGGTTCTAAACTGGATACAGAACTTTTGTTTCATAAACATTTTACAGTGGATCTGTGGCCTCTCTGTTTAAAGGTATTAGTACAGACAATGAATTTGTTAAAATTAAAAGACTGGGTAGATCATAGGACTAGCCCTAGTTGAACATGAATTCTAGAAGATGACTAAAATGCACTTGGAAACGGAGACTAGAGATATTCCTGGGAAAGAGGTGGAATGTCTACAAATCAAACTTTGTTAAACGAATGTTAATAAACTACCTATAGTCCTTCTCTGAATTGAAATCTTTCAATATGAATGATTTTGTATAGCTGAGTCACCTTATGAGGTTTATGAACCAAATGCTTTATGAACCAAAGGATTTCATTAAAAAAAATTTTTTTTTTTGCTTTACCTGTTAATGTATATTGGAAAACAATAGAATTTTACTAAAGAATTATTGTGTCTTCTGTTTTTCTTAGATTATTTTAGACAAACAGAAAGTTCAGGTTTCAATGATGCGCAACTTGACTTGCCCACTTATGGAGAGTCTGAGAAAATGACATACACAGAACAAGCCAGCAAAAGGCATCATTGCATAAGGCTGACATGGTAAATGAGTTCTTTCTTTCAAGAAAAACTGGAGCATCCATTGTTTTCAAAATGTCATTAAAAATTCAGCCTTCATCAGAAGATTCACCAATAGTGAGGAGGAGTTTGGGGGTATGGTAACCAAATGCACATCCCAGAAGCCTGAACCTGACTTTCAGCCAGCTTCTGGGTGAAAGGTCGATAGTGTATCCAAGGCCAAGACCTCCTCTTTGATCTGGAAAGCTTTGCTTTCCTCTGGCCCAGCCTGGAACTTGGAGCCCAGCAGTGGAGCAGGCAGTGGGAAAAAGATGTGTGAATCTATTCCAATGGGTCTGTAAGGCCAGCTCCATCTTCTGGTCCCTAAAGAACTGAGAGCAGATATCAGCCACACAAAGTTCTGTCCTCTCCCTGATGTGAGTCCTGTAGCTGGGAGACCAGGGAGGGGATTCCACCTCCTAATGCTTCGTCAGGGGTCTCTCCTGTATTGGGATTAGCTTTATCACCTATTACTCAAGTAGATCTTGACCCAGACTATTCCTATCATTCTAAAACCTGAAATGTCAGGATGATAAAACTTGACAGACTACAAATAACTCTTGAAAACAAAATCACTGAATAGTATCTAAAGAGTTGCAGTACTATAAATCACTGATCATTGGTGCTCCTTGCAACTGCCTATTTCATAACCAGTTATAAAATATCTGTGTCAGAAGAGAAGTCAGTAAATCTGTTCCTGAGGCCACCATGGTCAGCTCACAGGTTCTAGAGGCACCAGGGGTGCCACATAAGCAGAGTCAAATGTTCTTCTAAATTAAACATCTTGCTGTCTCAATCTCCATTCTAAGTACTTAAGTAAGGCAGCAGAAAATGTGTACTTTTAGGTTAGTAGCTGCTTAGCAACAAACATTTATTCAATAGCAAAGATTTTACACCTTTACCATTAGAATGCAAGTCACAAATGTATATTCATTGGTTTTACTTTTAAAGCACATTGAAAAATTTGGCCTTTTGAGTTTGATAAACTAGGTGTGTTTTCCGATAACAACTATGTTGTTGTTAAGTGCCATCAAGAGAGTGTCAAAAGAGAGTTAACAGAATTAACCATGAGGACATGCACTGTGTTCTCAATGAGACAGCCATTTAGATGGATAAATCAAGTTGATTCTGACCCATAGCGACCTTGTATAGGATTTCTGAGGAGCAGCTGGTGAGCTTGAACCACTGACCTTGCTATTCAAACCGACCTTGCAGTTTAGTGCATGATCACACAGCACCACACCAGGACTCCTAATGCTCATTAAATATCCATACAGAACACCTAGCAACGCTAGGATTAATGCTATATATTTGAATATTTGTGATTTTTAAATGAAGACTGTCTAAAAAACTTTTCTGAGCAGTAAATCTCTGTTATTATAATATGATTCAACCAAAATTGAGGAAGAAAATACATTTTAAAAATATTATCAGAAATTTTATTAAACTATATCATTGTTATGCAAAGGACACAATTGTGGTTGTTGGTAAGTATTGTCGAGTCGGTTCCAACTCACAGTGACCTTGTATAGGGCTTCTGAGGAGCAGCTGGTGGGTTTGAACTGCCAGCCTTGTGGTTCACAGTCCCCCCCCTTCCCCCCCCCAGGAGCCCAAGCATGATGTTCTCTAAGGAACGCCCTTCTGATGATACATCCAAAATAAGTGAGACCAAGTCTTGGCATCCTCACTTCTAAGCAGCATTCTAGTTGTACTTCTTCCAAGACATTTGTTCATGCTTATAGAAAATACATTTTAAAATTTAAATACATAAACTTGCTTTACAGTCACCTTCAAAAATATGTAGTGAATATTGACAATTGAAGCTGTACTTTTTTTCTTTTCAAGCTTTATCCGTCTAAACGACTATCTAATTGAGAACACAATGCATATCCTCATGGTTAATTCTGTTAACTCTCTTTTGAACTATCTTACTGACAAGTTAAAGCGAACACCTTCAGCAGATATCATTCAAAAATGGATTACCGAAGAGAAGCCTGAAGTCACTGATAAAAAGGTATATCCCAGATAAAATTTGAAATGATTATTGATCAATATGTACTGAGTGCTTGCTATGTACTGTGAATTATGCTATTTTCTATGTATTGGAAAAATAGAAGAAATGCATAGAGGATTTCACATGACTAGGACCTGCCATATACATATAAAGTGACAACAAAAATCAACACATTCACATGTATCTAATAACAGACTCAGAACCCACTATGCCAACAGTATGTTGCTTTTTCATAGGTATTTGTTGTAAGTTATTCATGTGTATTTTATTTGAAAAATTATTTCCTAAGTAGTCCTGGTGTGGTGCTGTAGGATAAGCACAGGAATGCCAATGGCAAGGTTGGTGGTTCAAATCCACCAGCCACTCCTAGGAAACCCTATATGCTATGAGTCAGAACTGACTCGACGGCACTTAACAACAGCAATATATTTTTTAAAATCTCCCAAGTCAATATGTATTTTTTCAATGGCTATATAATATCTCATATTATATACTTGTGCTAGTGGGGAAAAAGCATCCAGATTCAAGCATATTCTATAAAGACCCTTTACAAAGCCTAAAACAGGACACAGACAAAACAGACAATTATCCTAGATGTCAGCATGCACCCAGTATAGAAGTCCATGGAATCTGCTAGCTCACAGCCATGGTTTTCTTGTACACGGTAGTTGGTGTGTACTGTCCAATCGATTCTAACTCATAGCAACCCTGAATAGTTTTTCCGAGAGTGGCTGGTAATTGTGAACTGCTGTCCTTGCGGTTAACCATTTCAGTTATCTTACAGCACCACCTCAGGGCTCATATGTAATAGAGGGAACAGGAAATCATGATTAGTGGCAGGTCAATCCATCAGTGTCACAGGTGAGACTACAGTATAGGGGAAAGGACTGTGGTTGGGATACATTCACGATTGCACATTAAAAAGTGTTACTGGATTGGTTCTGAGGTTTTGACCACCTAGGTGATCGAGTATGATTCATGATCATGTGACCCTGGCTCACAGCCACAAGGGGACTACAATACAACAAAGAACTTAAGTTATATAACATGCCTCTGCCTACTTTCAATCAATGCCCAAGCAAATTCCCTAATTCTTTGTGCAAGCATCTTTCTGCATACTAGTCAATCTATTTTCAAGCACATTCTTCCAATAGGCACATACCCTTCCCCAGATTTGCCCTAGGGGCCACGTTGCTGGTTTAATGGTCAGCAACACTGGGGAAGTAACAGAAAGAATTTTAAAGTATCTGAACTTTTGTCAAGACTCATAATGGAATAGGGCTTTCATTGTAGACCACAGCCTTCCACAAAGCAAGTGCTTTAGAATTTAAGCTCGAATGGATACTATAAATCTTATGAACAATTTCCTGTTGTTAATAACTTTCTCACTGCAAAGAAACGTCCTTGTTCACATGTCTATTAATTTCCTGTTGTTAATAACTTTTTCACCACAAAGAACATCTGTGCCTTTCCCTTCACCCAAGTAAATATGTCTACCCTCTAGTTAATGATCTATGTTTCCTTACACTCCCATCCATGGTAACCATCAAAGAATGTTTCTTTCTATGTGTACATCTTTTCTTGAAATTTTCCAGTAGTGGTTTCATACAATATTTGCCCTTCTGTGACCAACTTAGTTAACACAACTTAATGTACTTCAAGTTCATTCCATCTTATGAAGTATTTTGCAGATTCTTTATTTTTTTACTGTTGTGTAGTATTCCATTCTGTGTATGTACCCTAGTTTGCTTATTCATTCTTCCACTCATGGACATTTAGGTTATTTTTCTCTTTTTGATACTGTGATCAGTGTCACAGTGAACATGGGTATGCATAAATCTATTCAGGTCTCAGGTCTTTTTTCTTTTCTAGGACTTATGTTAACTCATGGGATTGCTATATCTTAATGTATTTCTATTTCTAATCTTTTAAGGCAGCACTGTTTTCCACCATCTTTGTACCATTGTAAAGTCCCATCAACAATATAACAGAGTTCTAGTCTCTCCACATCCTCACCAGAGTTTGTTGTTTTCTGTTGTTTCAAATTTTGCTGGTTTTGCTGCAGGTCAACTGATAGCTCATTGTTATTTTGATCTGTGTCTCTCTAATGACAAATGAAAGGAGCTCTGGTAGCATTGTGGTTATGACCTTTAAGGTAGGCAGTTTGAAACTGCCAGCTGTTCCGCGGGAGAAAGATGAGGCTTTCTGCTCCCATAAAGATTTACAATCTTGGAAACCCTGTATAGGGTCACTATGAGTCAGAACCGATGACTCCATGGCACATAACCAACCAGCCAACCAATGACTAATGATAAAGCCCTGGACCACAAGTTTGGTTTGAACCACAAGATCGGTGGTTCAAACTCACTAGCCGCTCCTTGGAAATCCTATACAGGGTCGTTATGAGTCAGAACTGACTGGAAGGGACTTAACGACAACAACCAATGACCAATGATAGTGAGGATTTCTCATGTGTTTGTTGGCCACCTGTATATCTCCTTTGGTGACATGTCTGTTCATTATATTCTTTTAATTGACATTTCTGTGCAGGGAGAAGTGGATAGATCTGGAGGTCAGAAAGACACAGGTTTGAAGTTTGGGTGTGCCATTTACTAGCTAGTGTGTCCTAGACAGAGTAATAATGGTACCTGTACTGTATGATAGGTATATGAGGTACGTGAACACTTTGTACTGTGCCTGGTTCACAGCAAGCACTTGATAAGCGTTACTGCTTAGTAAACTGTTTTGATGACAAGAAGAAGGAAGTTGTATGTTGATCTTCAGTATTCTTATTTTGAGCATATTTGAGTCATGCTCTTTGCCCATTTTATATTTAAGTACAAAGGGGCTTCAACAATTCCTGGAAAAATTTCATTATCTTTTCATTCCATTTTTCCATGAGCTTTTTGAAACCCTCTTGTACATTTATATTTGAGCATGTATCTATTTAAATAGTATTTATTATATTATTAGCATATATTTCAATTAAGTATGTTTTTTCTTAAATATTATCACCTCCCAGGGGTAGTGCAAATAGTTAATGTGTTGAACTGCTAACCCCAAAATCAGAGGTTTGAGTTCATCCAGGGGTACCTTGGAAGAAAGGTCTTATGATCTACTTTTGAAAATCAGCCACTGAAAGCCAGAGTTTTCTCTGTGGCACATAGTTCTGCGCTTACACACTTGGGGTCTCCATGAGTCTGAATTGAGTCAATACCAGGTGTTTTTATCTACTATATATATATGTTGCTGTTGTTGAATGCCTTTGAGTCAATTCCGACCCATAGCAACTCCATATAGGGTTTCCAAGGAGCAGCTGATGAGCTTGAACCACCAACCTTGCGGTTCAAATGGCTTTGCAGTCTGGCGCATTAACCCACAGCGCCACCCCAGGACTCCTATATATGCTACTAACTAATAACATTTCCCCAGTTTGTTTGCCATTCCTTTTTGTTCATGGTGTTTTTATAGGTACAGAAGTACTACATTGTTATGTAGTCTCTCTTAATATTTTGCCTTGCCTTTATTTTATTTTTTCTGCATATCATAATATTCTTTGAAAGACTTCCCATGTGTCAAAATTATAAAATTAGCTTATTTCAATAAATTTAAGATTATCTGCTTCTTGTAATAATGTAGCTTTAAAAATTGATTTTATACCTTGATAGTTGATCCTTCTAACACATCAAATGTGCTTGTTTCAGGCCCCCCCTTTGCTGGAAAAGCAGGAAGAAGAGGATTCTCTCATTCCCATGTTTCTCACAGAACTGATGCTGACAGTGCAGTCACTACTTTTTGAACCTGCTTTGGAAGACTTCCTGGTGCGTGTTTCTTTGTACAACACCCTTTTGTATAGCATTTTATTTTTCTGGAAAATGAAGCTGCTGTTTTACTATAAAATGGTTGGCAGGAATCAGTTTGTATCTCCCAACTGATAAAAAAAAAAAAAAAGAAAGCATTGTTCTGTGGACAGCACTACTCTTCCATACAAATGATATAAATGTTTAGAACATTTTCTTTAACTTGGGGGAAAGCAGGACGTCAGTAAGGTAGCTTATCAAGAAAAATTCTATACAAAATTTAGAATTGGCTCATAGGCATCCCTCTAATATGAGTCCAAAAATCCATTCTACTGTAAATACGGATATTTTTTTCAGTTTTATTGTGAATTGAGTGTAGGTTTACAGAGCACATTATCAATTTTACATTCAATAATTCATGCACGTTTTGTTTCATCTAGTTGATTACAATCCCCTTCACTGTAACATCACTTATCCTTCCTCCCTGTATTCCTGTTTCATTTCTTCTGAATTTTGTCCTTGGGTGAATGCTGCCCTTGTGATCTCCTATGGCCGGTTATTCTGAGATAGGCATGCTTCCTTAGTGTTGTTTTTCCACTTATAGACCTGTATGGTGTTTGGCTGACAGTTGAGTGATGGGGGTGAGTTCAATTCTACACCTGACGGGTGTCTCTGGGCCATATCTCAGGTGTTCCAATAGTCTCTATCTAACCAGTAAACCTGGTCTCTTTCCCGATTTTGAGTTTTGTTCCACATTTTCTTCCACTATACCCAGGATATTCTTAGATGATTCCTTTCAGAGCTGTTGGTAGTAGTAGCTGTGCACCATCTAGTTCTTCTGGTGTTAGGGTCATGGAGATGGATTTTCCCATGGTCCATTAGTTCAATGGACTAATGAGTCACCTATATCTTAATTTTCATCATTATTCTTTCCTTCAGACAGGGAGAGATCAATAGCTGCACCTTAGATGGCTGCTCACAAGTGTTAAGGATCCCAGTAGCTACCCACCAAAGTAGGATATAGAACACTGTCTTTCTGAACATGTTACTCCACTTGAACTTAGTGTCCCCCAAGACTGTGATTCTGAACCTCTAGACCCAGTGACTTATTCCCTCAGGGTATTTGGCCATGTCTAATAAGTTTTCATGACTTTTTCACCTGTATGTTCCACAACATTCATGGATATATTTACAGCAAAAGTAAATACCCTTGTGCAAATATCCTCTGTCAAACTGTATATGTATATGTTTGTGTATGTATATATATATATACATATACATACACACATATGTTATTGTCAGGTGCCATCGAGTCGGAACCGACTCATAGCGACCCCATGCACAGCAGAACGAAACAATGTCCGATCCTGGGCCAACCTCACTACCACTGCCACACTTGAGTCCATCAATGATGCCACCTGGCCAATCCATCTCGTTCGGGGTCTTCCTCTTTTTCTCCGACCCTCCACCTTACCCAGCATGACATCCTTCTCCAGCGACTGTTTCCTCTGGACAATATGTCCAAAGTATGAGAGACGAAGCTGAGCCATACACATATATATACATACATATATATTTGTGGGTATTCGCCACTCTCTTTTCAACATCTGTTCAGCTTCAGTGACTATTCATTCATCTACTTGTGTAGTCATTAAGTGCCTCGTAAAGTCAGTTTTCACCTATAGCGAACCTATATATGGTTTCCAAGGAGTGACTTGGTGGGTTTGAGCTGCGGATCATGTGGCTATCAGTCCAGTGCTCATCCTACAGTGCCACACCAGGACTTTACTTATAGATCACCATTATTTCAGGATTGTGTATGTAACAGTATTTACCTCTGCTGGCTTTAACTCTTGCTTTATTTCCAGTGTCTTCCCCTGCCTCCATCATTTGTTGCTAACCTCCTTCTTATTGAAAATTGCCTTCTCCTTTAACCCAAGTAATATGTATTAATTTCTTCACATATTTAAAACAGTCTGTTCTGTTTTGAAATCTACTTGACTTCCTCTTCATTTGGAAGTTCTGCAACTACACTATTCCCTCTTTTTTACTTTGTAATTGTCTTCATTACAAATGCATATCTTAGGTTCCCTATTTTCTGTCCCATAGGTTTGCTTTACTTTGAAAATTTCTATATCTGGATTAACTTCTGTGTGGTGTTATCATGTATGTTAATCTGAGGTTGTTGTCTACTACTGTTGGTTTTTTGTCTGAAGAATTCCATTTCTCGTAAGGTTATTCTATTTTGTTTGTTTTGTTTACCGATTCCTTTAACTTCTGTTGATTTGGAAATGTCCTAATTTCACCATCATATATGAAGCACAATTTTGCTAGATAAATGATTCCTGGTCAGCAATTTTTTTCTTATGGAGTTTCATACCTGTCTTCCATTGCCTTCTTACCTACATGGTTTCTGCTGAGGAATCAGAGTTTAGTCTTCTTAGTTCTCCTTTGAAGGTAACTTCATTTTTTCCTAACTGCTTTCAGGATTCTTTTTTTGTCTTTGGTTTTGGATAGTGTGTTTGGAGTCTATCCTGTTTGGGGTTTTCTTTTTGGGTCTATCCTGTTTGAGGTTCTTTCAGATTCTTGGATGCTTATCTTTTCATCTTTATTGTTATTAAGGAAGTTTTCTTCCAGAAGCTCTTTGATCATTTTCTCTATGCCTTTTTTGGTTTCTTCTTTTTCTCGAATTCTGACCACACACACATTTTTTTCCTCTTGATGGTATCCTATATAATTCTTAGGCTTACTTCAAATCTTTTGTTCTTTTTTCTGATTGTTCTTCTAGCAGATTAGTATTAAGAGACTTGTCTTCAAGCTCACTAAGTTGGCCTTTCATTGATTCTCTTCTACTCTTTTGCCCTTTTTGAAGTCATAGTATGAAGCTTCTGGAATTCTATTTGGTATTTTTGTATGGTTTCTAATTTTTCATTTATTTTGTTAGTTTGTTCTTGTAGTATTTCTCTGCTTTCTTTGATTTTATCTGCAACTTCTCTATCTTTCTCTCAAGTCATTGACAGTACCTAAATATCAATCTTTTGAATTTCAGTTAGCTCCCATGCCATTTCTTCTTCAGAAGGTCTTCTGGTTGTGTATTTTGGTCACTTGTTTGAGTCACTCTGTCTTGTTTCTTCATATGAACTGAAATTGTTTTCCCCAGGACATTGTGGTGTTGTTTTATTTGTATGTAATTCATGATTAGCTACTCAACACTTGTCTCCTGGTGGGTGTGATATAGAATGTGACTGTGTGCACAGTTCTCTTTTTACTATTTGTATAGCACAGTCCTGGTGTGGCGCTGTGGGTTAATGCACCAGACTGCAAAGCCATTTGAACTGCAAGGTCGGCGGTTCAAGCTCACTATTGCTCCTCGGAAACCCTATACAGGTTTGCTATGGGTTGGAATCGACTCGATGGCACTTCACAACATTACAACATAGCACAGTTAAGGGTGGGATTGGTTGGTGTTGGCTTCTGTCCATCTGCTAATATGTGAATAGGTAGTGTCCCTCCCACAGTAGTGGAGTTGTAGTAAGTATAGGTGTGGCTAGGCTGGTCAGGTAGAACAAGAAAAAAAAAATTAAAAGAAGAGAAAAAAGCAAAACCAAACAATGGTAAAAAGTAATAATAATAATAATGAAGAAAAAATCCAGGGAAAGCAGGCAAACGCCTCAAGAAAAAAAAAGATTTTAATACTAAAAATAAAAAAAGAAAGTAAAATAAAAATATGGGAAGAGTAAAAGAAAAACTAATGAAATACAATAAGTAAAATGGGGGAAAGAGAGAGAATAGTAAAGAAACAGACTAAGAGAAAAGATAAAAAGAGAAAGAAGGCATTCGGGCCTCTCACATACAACAATTTAGCAAGGATTATACTGCTCACATATACTCTTGGGATGTGATGGCATATACTTCATGGTATGGTGCTGTAAGATAAGCACTGGACCACAAGATTGGTTTGAAATGTAAGGTTGATTGTTCAAACTCACTATGCCCTCCTCAGAAACCCTATACAGGATTGCTATGAGTAGAAATCAACTCGACAGCACTTAACAACACACTTGGGAAACGCCAACTCATCTTTTAAGTGTCATTTCATTTTAATTTATATATTATAAACTGTCTCATATGCATTGAAGAGAATGTAAAAAGCACAGAGAATGTCATTAAAATCATCCTTTATCATCTCATATGCCATTCAAGTAAAAAGCCTCTACATTTTGGCATTTTTCCTTTCAGTTTCACTTGACCTTGCAGTTGAAACAGACCTTGAGATCCAGTGCTTATCCAACAGCGCCACACCAGGACTCCATACTGACATAAAGAGATCACACACACAGACTTTTTCATTGTTGTTAAGTGCCATCGAGTCAATTCTGACCCATAATGACCCTGCATAGAGTTTCCAAGGAGAAGCTGGTGAGCTTGAAACTCCTTGCAGTTCAAATGACTTTGCAGTCTAACACATTAGCCCACAGCGGCACACCAGGACTCCTACTCCTATATCCTGCATATGTATCAAAAGTTTTCTTCCAAGTCATTAAACAATCTTTGGAGATATTATTTTAAGTGTTGAGTAATTTTCCATTGTGTAAATATACCATAACTTCTATAATCATTATTTTACTTTTGAACATTTATCTGTTTCTCTAGTTATTATTATAAGTAATGCTGCAGAAAATGTCATTGTACAGACATCTTTGTATGCATGCCTAATTTTGTTCTTTCATGTTATATTTTCAGATTGGAAATGATTGCTCAAAGAATACAAATGTTAAATTCCCCTCTTTAAACTTTCCTAATTCCCTTATGTATATTGAATGTTGTTATTGTTAGGTGCCATCGAGTCGGTACTGACCCACAGCAACCTTATGCACACCAGAACAAAACACTGCCCGGTCCTGGGCCATCCTCACTACTGTTGCCACTCTTGAGTCCATTGATGCAGCCACTTGGCCAATCCATCTCGCAGGGTGCCTTCCTCTTTTTCTCTGACCCTCCACCTTACCAAACATGATATCCTTCTCGAGCGAATAGTCCCTCCTGACAATATGTCCAAAGTATAAGAGATGAAGTTTGGCAATCTTGGCCTCCAAGGAGCACTCTGGCTGCACTTCCAAAATGGATCTATTGGTTCTTTTGGCAGCCCATGGCACTTTCAGTATTCTCCTCCAACACCATAGCTCAAAAGCATCAATTATTCCATAGTCTCCCTTATTTACTGTCCACTTTTTACGTGCATTTGAGGTTATTGAAAATACCATGGCTTGGGTCAGGCACACCTTAGTCCTTAAGCTGACATCTTTGCTCTTCAACACTTTAAAAAGGTCTTATGCAGCAGATTTGTCTAATGCAATGCGTCGTTAGATTTCTTGACTGCTGCTTCCTTGAGTGTTGATAGTTGATCCAAGAAGAATGAAGTCCTTGACAACTTCAATCTTTTCTCTGTTGATAAGAGTGTTGTTTATTGGTCCAGTGGTGAGGATTACTGTTTTCTTTACATTGAGATGTAATCCATATTGAAGGCTGTGCTCTTTGATCTTCATCAGTAAATATTTTAAGTCCGTTTCACTTTCAGCAAGCAAGGTTGTATCATCTGCATATCGCAGGTTGTTAATGACTATACTTCCCTTAAAATTGTATTTTCTTTAGACTTCAAATACAGCACTCCTTACAATGTGTGGCAATTTTCTGTTTAGCTGCCTCGCTGAGAGAACTGGAAAATATGTTTACCGAAAGCAGGGGCTGTGTCTTCTGACTGTAAATATTCAGAATCAATGCAGTATTTGGCCTGGGCGGATTAATGATTTATTTTAGCATTACAGAAAAATCAGAAATATTCATGAATATTTTGGAATTAGGTTCTACATTTGATTCTACAAAACGCCAAATAATTTTCAAAATTAAAATTCTGAAATGAGGAAGACATATATATGTATGTCTACATTTATATCATATATATTATGTCATATATATGTCTATATTTACATTTGTGCTTTTCTTTCTTACAGGATGGCATTTCAGGTGCAATTAATCAGTTTCAAAACACTGTGTTAGCAGTTCCAAATCTTGTGCCTGATCCCTATTTTGATGCTTTCACCAGCCCTTATATTAACAACAAACTTGAAGAAAAAACCTGTGGATTAGGACCAAGTTTATCAGCAGTATTTGATGATGATAAGAATTTTCACACAATTATCCATCAAATAAAGGTAGGTCTACTTGTCTTAAAACTGCTTTATAATATTCATGCAGTTTAAAGAAATCGAGTGATATTTTTCATTTATCATTTAAATGTTCTATCTGTGGAAATTGAAATACTATCTAATCTCCAAATGGTAAAATTGGAAAATAATGTTGTTTGTAAAATGTCCTTTAAAAATTGTCCCATAAAATATGAAATAAATTTTTAAAAAGCATTAACAGTTTATCTTGCAAGATAGCTACATTACATTAACAATAGCTTGCGTGCGTGAAGCAAGATGAAAGTCAGGGATGCTGAGACACAAGTGCAATCAGAATGGTTTTATAGTCAACACATTTTTTTTTTTTAATTGAAGTCATTTATTACTATTTTTGAGGCTTTCAAAAGACATAGTGTAATTATTATAGGCTTTTAGAAAAGAAATGTAATGGCATCTATTCAAAGTCCTTATATGCAAACAATAATGAAAATACTGGACTTGAACATATCAGTATTCATGAGGAAGGTGTAGGACTGGGCGGTGTTTCTTTCTGCTGGACATAAGGTTGCCATGAGTTAAAGCCAAGTCAACACTAACTGAAGCATGAGGACTTTGGGATTAGTACTAAAATTGCTAGTTTACATGCCCTCATTTTTTTTTTTTCTTTCAACGTTTTATTGTGAATTAAGTGAAGGTTTACAGAGCAGATCATCAGTTTTACCTTAAAATATCATACACCTTGTTTAATACGTGGTTGCAACTTCTTCCATGTGCCAGAAGTTAACAGTATCTGCCTCTATTGCACTCCTCATTGTGTCTCCCACTTCCTTCACCTTTTCTCTGTTCACCCCCTTTTGTTGTATATTGTCTGCCCTGTCACCTGGGTTAACGTGTGTCTACCCACTAGCCTATGAATAATTTTCCCTCCCCCACCCCCCAACCATCATAGATTGTTTCTTTTTCAAGAAAACTTTTTTCTTTTTTAACTTTTTTACATTGCTCTCACACAGACTTGTCCTTTTGTGATTAATTTTCACTCAGCATAATGTCCTCCAGGTTCAACCATGCTAGGGATGTTTCACAGATGCATCATTATTCCTCAGTGTTTTATAGTATTCCATTATGTATATATACTAAAGTTTGTTTAACCATTCTCCTGTTGATGAGTATTTAGGCTGTCTCCATCTTTTTTATATGCCTCTTGTAGACATTATATTGAGGGATCCTGTTTTCTTATCTAGTCTACTCTCTATGCCTCCCTTTCACCCCCTCATTCTGCAACTAAGCACACTTGTGAAAGCTTGTAAGCCAGCCACTTCATGCCTTTGTAACCCCCCATTTTTGATAGCCAGTGTCTAAATTTCTCATTCCTATCTACCCAGTATGTTGAAGAAACAAGATTTTCCCTTGATAGGAAGAATCCTTGCTGGATGGAATTTTGAGTAACTGCATTCACAGGCAAAAGTCTACTTGATCAAATTGTAACAATTTGCACTTGTTCTCAGTATCAAACATCTTCATCTTCCTTGGTCTGAGATCTGGTCAAGTAGCCATCCAAGCTAGGGTACCGGCCACAAGTTTGAGAGTTCACGTCACACCTCCCAGCACATCAGACCAGCTGGCTGCTTCACTCTCAGCCCTAGCCTCCAGGGGCTAGGTCAGTGCCCATGATGTGGTCTCATTAAAAAAATTAAAAACATTTATCGAGATTGTTGAGGTGAGGACATAAAGGGGAGAGCATTACTCCTTGGGCTATTTCTCTGGGTAATCTAATCTCTTGCTTGGAAAACAAGACTGTTGTGTAGCCCTTGACTTGCTGCAGTTGTCTTTGCTCCTTGGCACCCATTACTACTGTACCTTACAAACAGAATATTGACCTACTTGTCAGTCATAGATACCCACTGTACACATACCCCTATGTAACCTAAAATTAGCATTGTGTTTAAATAGGTTTATTTCATAAAGATAAGGTTGTAACTATCCTGGTATGATTTTAAAAGCAAACACATGTCATCGACTATCTTTATACCTATTGATGATGGGGTTCTTCTTCTCAGCTTTAAATTTTAAGTCATCAGTTCAATAGTTATAAGCTCCTACCATGTTATTAGCATACTGTAGAATAAGCACTGGACTGCAAGGTTGGTTTGAACCACACGGTCTGCAGTTCAAACTCACCAGCCACTCTTTAGAAACCTTATACAGAGTCACTATGAGTTGGAACTGACTCGACAGCACTTAACAACCACACCACCATGTTATTATTCACTATTCCTGTCTTCCTCATTTCAGAATTTCAATTTTGAAAATTATTTGGAGTTACATAGAATCAAATGTAGAACCTAATTCCAAAATTATATCCTAGATCTTTGTTTCTTTTGCACCGAATACTTGTATTAAGAGGGTCTTCCACAACCTTATTTTATTCATTAACTCCTTACCATCTCGCCTATTAATAAATACCAAAATAGAACTGTGCTTCATCAGCTTTCTCTCTCTCAGGGAATTGCTTTCCTTTAAAACAGTGGCTAATTACATTTGTAATAAGAAAGTATATATTCAGTTGGGAGTAACCAAGAACAATGAAAACTTTTAAATATGAATTTCCTTGTAATCTCTTAAAAATAGTAAAGACCTATGAGAAAATGCTCTTGAACAGAGTGAATAGAAGAAATAATGACATAAAAGAGCTGAACAGATTTCAAAGGCTAGCTCAAGGAGACAAAGTTAGAATAGAATTTGCAAAGATTTAAGAGTTAGAAAGTCAAAAGGGAAGAATACATTTGACATTTCTCAAACTGCAAGAACTGATGAAAACAAATCAAGCCTTTAGTTGTAACACTGAAGAATTTGTGGACAAAGAAGATGGAAGGAATACACAGAGTCACTGTACCAAAAATAATTGGTCAGTGTTAAGCCATTTCAGGAGGCAGCCTATGACCAAGAACTGATAGTATTAAAGGAAAAGTTCATTCTGTACTGAAGTTCTTGACAAAAAACAAGGTTCCAGGAATTACCAGAATAACAAAATGTTTCAGAAAATGGTTGCAGCACTGAGGTGCTTACTTGTCAAGAAATTTGGAAGACAACTACCTAACTGGAAGAGATCCATATCTGTGTCCATTCAAAAGAAAAGTGTTCAAACAAAATATGGAAATATAGAATGATATCATTTAATATCACACACAAGTAAAAATTTGCTGAAGATCATACAAAAATGGTTACAGCAATACCTTGAGAGGGAACTTTCAGAAATTCAAGCCAGACTCAGAAGAGGATATACAATGAGGGGTATCATCACAGATTTCACATGAATCTTAACTAAAAACAGAACACCAGAAAGATGTCTACCTGTTTTATGGACTATGAAAAGATACTCAACTGTGGGTTATACTACGAAGAATGGGAATTCTAGAACACTTGCTTGTGCTAAGGCAGAGCCTATACTTAGACCAAGAGGCAGTAATGAAAACTGAATAAGGGGTTATTGCCTCTCTGCATGCAAAAACTGAACAATGAACAAGAAAGATTAAGGAAGAACCCTTTGAATTATAACATTGGCAAAAAATAATGAATATACTATGGACTTCCAGAAGAGCAGACAAATCTGTCTTGGAAGAAGTACATGCAGAATGCATCTAGAAGCAAGGACATTGAGACCATCTCACGTACTTTATACATGTTATTAACCAGTCCCTGGAAAAGGGTGTCGTTCTTGGAAAAATAGAGAGTTAGTGAAAAAGAGGAAGCCCCTCAACAAGATGGATTAATACAGTTGACTTCAACAGTGGGCTCAAGCATAGCAATGGATGTGAGGCTGGTGCAAGACTGAGCAGTGTTTTGTTCTATTGTACATAGGGTGGTTATGAATGGGCACTGACTTGGCAGTACTTAACAATTGCACACTTAATACACTACAGCATAGTATAAACACAACTGTCATACATACTGGGAGCCTATTGTTGCCACCACCGTGCCAGTCCATTTCATTGAGGGTCTTCCTCCTTTTCTCCAACCCTCCACTTTACAAAACATGATATCCTTCTCCAGTGACTGGTCTCTCATGACACTATGTACGAAGTATGAGAGACAAAGTCTGGCCATCCTGACTTCCAAGGAGCACTCTGACTGTACTTCTTCCAACACAGAGCTATTTGTTCTTTTGACAGTCCATGGTACAGATTTTCAACAAAGCGGAAAACATTTTCCTGCACAGATATACAGCCTCAGAAATCCTGTACAGGGTCACTATGAGTCGGAACAGACTCAACGGCACTTAACAACAACACAACAAACAAATTTCCTGTGAATTCAATTATTTTAAAATAAAAAGTTTTAAAAATCATATTTAAATATTTGTAGAACTTGACATTCATAGGTTTCCCATTATGTGTCTATCACCTGTATGATCACATATCAGAAACACTAATTGGTCTGCTCGAAAGGAGATAAAATTTGACATAGTTCTCTTAGTGTAGAGGGAGAATACAAATATTTTGTAAGATTACATTGGCTGCGTGTCTTCAAGTCGGTTCCGACCCATAGCGACCCTGTACAGGATTTCCGAGGGTGTAAATCCTTACGGGAGTAGAAAGCCTCATCTTTCTCCCGCAGAGCGGCTGGTAGTTTCAAACCGCTGACCTTAAGGTTCACAGCCTATTAGAGCTTATTAAAAGGAAATAAATGAACAAATAATTGAATGTAACTATTTAGGATATGTAATAGTTTTTGTAATTAAACTATCTACTACTAGCCTGTTGTTGTTGTTGTTAAGTGCCCTTAAGTCAGTTCTGACTCATAGCAACCCTATATAGGGTTTCCAAGGAACAGCTGGTGAGTTTGAACCACCAACCTTGCAGTTCAAACGGCTTTGCAGTCTGGCATATTAACCCACAGCACCACACGGATTCGGAACCACTTTTTTTTGTGCAGTTTCATTGTTGTGTTTAGCTTTTCTTGGGACAAATTGCAGGTACTTGTAAGAAGTTTTGGTAGGAAATACAAAGGAGATGTATGGAATGCAACCAATGAGCAACAAATCCTAACTGCCTTTCACAGACATTCAACATTGGTGTTATGATTTGCTTTGTAGTCAGTTCCAACTCTTAGTGACCCTATTACTGTTGTTAAGTGCTGTGGAATCAGTTCTGACCCACAGGGACCCTGTACAAGGTTTCCACAGAGCAACTGGTGGGTTTGAACCACCAACCTTGTGTCTAGCGCTTATCCTCTGGTGTCACACCAGGACTCCAAGAGAACACAGTAAAACTGCCCCATGGGATTTTTTAAGCTATAGAGTCCTGGTGTTTGATTCTGTCCTCATGGAGTCCTAGAGATGCTGTAGAATAAGCACTGGACTGCTGGCCACAAGGCCAGAGGTTCAAACCCACAAGCTGCTCCTTGAAAATCCTATACAGGGTCACTGTGTATCAGAACCAACTCAACAACACTTAACAACAATCTTTACAAGAGCAGATTGCCAAATCTCTTCTCCATGGAGTGACTGGCAGATTTCAACTGCCAACCTTATGGTTAGCAGCAGGGTTTTGAACTGTTGAATCATTAGGCCTCCACACACACACAGACACAGACACAGACACATACAGGGTACTTCAAAAAGTTTTGGGTAAAAAATCTATTGTCTTTTTGTAAATCCATCTCCTTGAGGGTCATCCTCTTTTTCACTGACACTCCACTTTACCAAACATGATGTCTTCTCCTTGGACTGGTCCCTCTTGCTAACATGTTCAAAGTACTTGAGAAAAAGTCTCACCATCCTTTCTTCTAAACAACATTCTGGCAATACTTCTTTCAAGACAGATTTGTTTGTTCTTCTGACAATCTATGATACTTTCAATATTTCAGTATCCTGTGGCAACACCATAATTCAAACACATCCACTCCATATGAGATGATTGAAAATACCATGACTTGGGTCAGACACACTTTAGTCCTTAATGTGACATCTTTGACATTTAACCCTTTTAAGAGGTCTTTTGCAGCAGATTTACCCACTGCAGTGGGTCATTTGATCACTTGACTGCTGCTTCCATAAGCATTGATGTTGTTGTTGTTGTTAAGTGCTGTCAAGTTGGTTCTGACCCATAGCGACCCTGTATAGGGTTTCCAAGGAGTGACTGGTGAGCTTGAACCACCAACCTTGTAGTTCAGACAGCTTTGCAGTCTGGCGCATTAGCCCACAGTGCCACATCAGGCCTCCATAAGCATTGATAGTGGATTCAATTTCTATTCATTACCATGTGCTTATTAGTGAAATAAAGGTTTACTATGAAGCTGAAGAATGTTTGAGTATGCTTTCTTTCGGTATGCTTTTGCTTTTAGTCCTAAGGAGTAATTCTTTAAAAAATCAGATTTGCCAGTTTTGATTATTTTGGATCCATTAACAACTCCTTGACACCAGGGATGTTTACGGATTTATGTATTCACAGGCTGAGTTCAAAAAAGACACTCATATTTACTTAGTAATAATGATTGAATTCTGCTTAGAAAAGTAGTTTTATTTGTCTGTTTGCTTATAACCTTTAGGAAGCCATTAAAGCAGCATTTGAATCTGCTCGATTATATGCAACTACCTTTGAAAAGTTCCATTTGTTCTTCAGAGAAAATGAAAGTCTTGATTTACAAGCTCTTAAGCTTGAGGAACCCGGTAAGTTTTACATTTGTCCTTACTATTTCATTTTGGTAAGGTTTCTAGTCTTCTAGGTCTCTAATTGGTAGCGTATTATGACAGAAAATGACCATCTGAGAGATTTGGCTTGAGAGATGGCAAGATTTTATTCATTTCTAGGTTGTTTACTGTAGAAATTATTTGTTTAATCTTTAGTTATAACTTTTGAAATTTTAGGATATTATGGAAAGAAATTTCTAATAACTTATACTTTGGTATGAAGTTATTTTAGTGTTAAGGCTTAGAAGGAGAAATTCATGGGAAAAATTCAAATACTTTTTCATTCCATTTTTCCATGAATTTTTTGAAACTCCCTCATATGTCATATATATGCTGTTATTGTTAAAACCATCAAGTTGGTTCTGACTCATAGCAATCCGGGTAAGGTTTCTGAGGAGCAACTGGTGAGTTTCAACCGCTGAACTTTCGGTTCAAACCGACTTTGCAGTCCAGTGCATTAACCCACAGTGCCACACCAGGACTCCACATCCTATATAGGAAGAAGTAAAAAGAAATACATATATATCTACAAATTTCATTACATAAAATTAGGTAAGTATTTATCTCAGGAATTTAAATTACTTTGTTTCTGAGATCAGTTTGAAACCTGGTGGGTAAGCATCAAATAATTCTTTGCTATGATATTAGACTCAGAAGGAAATTATTTTATTGCACTTAGAATATTCAACAAAAGAAACAAATCTACAATACCCAACTGAAATTTCATACCATGAAGAACTCAGATGATTAGCAAAAATTAAGTAAATATCATTTTTTCTGTTTTAAAGTGTCATCCATATTTTTTAATTTTGTGAACTGGTTTTATTGTTTTATTTTCTTGTACACAAAACAATTACTTGGATACTTTATCTCAAGAGCCAGTAAAAAATGTTTTGTGTAAGTTTTGTTTTTCTTGCCACCTTATATTTTATGATTGTGAAGTCTTCTAAAATAAATTAGACATTCCATCCCTAACTTAAATATTTCAGCATGCATCCCTAAAAAAATGTCCTTACAAAAATCGAAATAATTTTATCACACCTTAATATATAGCCATTCCTTAATTTTAACATTTATTGTTGTTATTAAGTGCCTTCAAGTTGGTGTCTACTCATAGTGACCCTGTATAGGGTTTCTGAGGAGAGGTTGGTGGATTTGAACTGCTAACCTTATGTTAGCAGTCCAGTCCTTATCCTACAGCGCCACACCAGCACTCTACTTCTCCATTCCATTTTCTGGCTGAGTAATAATCTTTGTGTGTGTATATCACAGTTTGTCTATGCATTATCCTTTGATGGACATTTGGGTTGTTTTCACCTTTTTACTGTTGTGAATATTGATGCTATGCAGGGCCATTACATCTCAATGTCAAGAAAACAAAAAATCCTCACCACTGGACCAATAAACAACATTCTTATCAATGGAGAAAAGATTGAAGGTGTCAAGGACTTCATTCTTCTTGGATCAACTATCAACACTCACGGAAGCAGCAGTCAAGAGATCAGACGACATATTGCATTGGGCAAATCTGTTACACAGGCACTTATTAAAGTACTGAAGAGCAGAGATGTCAGCTTGAGGACTAAGCGCCTGACCCAGGCCATGGTGTTTTCAATAGCCTCATATGGATGTGAAAGATGGACAGTGAATAAGGAAGATCGTAGAAGAATTGATGCCTTTGAGTTGTGGTGTTGGAGGAGAATACTGAAAGTCCCATGGACTGCCAAAAGAACCAATAGATCTGTTTTGGAAGAAGTGCAGCCAGAGTGCTCCTTGGAGGCCAGGATGGCTAAGCTTCATCTCTCATACTTTGGACATATTGTCCGGAGGAAACAGTTGCTGGAGAAGGATGTCATGCTGGGTAAGGTGGAGGATCAGAGAAAAAGAGGAAGACCCCTAACGAGATGGATTGGCCAGGTGGCATCATTGATGGACTCAAGTGTGGATCGGACATTGTTTCGTTCTGCTGTGCATGGGGTCGCTATGAGTCGGTTCTGACTCGATGGCACCTGACAACAACAACAACAGGGCCATATAGTAGTTCTCTAGTTCTTCAAGGAACTGCTAAACTGTTTTATTATCAGCAATGTACAAGGGTTCCCATTTTTCCACATCTTTGCCAACACTTGTTATTTTCACTTTTTATGGAACATAGTCATCCTAATGGTGTCAGCTCTATGCTCCCATAAAGCTTTATAGTCTAGGAAATTCTATATAGCGTTCCTATGAGTCAGAACTGACTCGATGGCCGTGGGTTTTTGTTTTGATAAGAGTGTAATGGTACTTGACTGTGGTTTTGATTTGTATTTCCAGGACAACTGATAATGTTGAGCATCTTTTCCTGTATTTCTTGGGCATTTGCATATCTTCTTTGAAGAATTGTTTAAGATCTTTACCCACTTTTAATTGTCTCTTTGTTAACTTATAAGAGTTCTTCATTTTTTTCTGCTTGCTAGATCTTTATCAAATATGTGATTTACAATTTTTCACTTTTCTAATAATGTGCTTTGATACATAAGTTTTTTTTTAATTTCGATGGTCTAATTTATCTATATTTTGTTGTTGCTCATGTTTTGTCATCGTCTAAGAATCCACTGCCAAGTTCTAATGAAAATTTATCCTTATGTTTTTCTAAGAGTTTTATGGTTTTATCTTTTATATTTAGGTTATTGATATATTTTGAGTTAATGTTTGGTGTGAGTTCTCTTAGGTGTGTGTGTGTGAATTGGGTGAAAGTTTATAGAGTGGTTTTCCATTCAACAATTTATGTACATTTTATTTCATGATATTGATTGCAGTCTTCACAATATAATTTATCCTACTTCCTCCCTGTGTTTACATTCTTCCTTCTTTTTTAATCCTTCTGAACTTTGTCCTTGGGTAACTGCTGCCTTTTTTTATCTCAAATGGTTGGTTATTCTAAAGTGTGCGTACCTCTCTAGTGTTATTGTTCCCCTTGTAGACCTATCTGTTGTTTGGCTGAAAATTGAGCCACCAGAATTCATTTCCAGACCTGATGTGTGACCAAGGGCCATAGTCTCAGGGGTTCCACCAGCCTCTGTCCCTTACGTGAGATGGGTACCAAAACAGCTTATGGAAGAGCAGAAACAGAAGTGTTTGGACATCTGCAAACAAAATTTTAACCAGTATTCAAAGGAAGGTAAAAGTGTCTTTAAAAAAATCACTGCTGGTGATGAGACATCGATTCATCACTATGAGCTTAAGAGTAAATGGCAGCATATGGAATGGAAGTATACTCGATTGCTGACCAAGAAAAAGTTCAAGTCAACCAGCAGGTGGAAAATTTATGCTTACACATTTCTATGATTCTCAAGGGTCAGTATTGGAACATTATCATGAAGAAGGTTCAGCAATCAACAGTGTTTGTTACAATAAGATGCTCACTGAAGAGCTGAAGCCTAAACTTTGGATCAGACGCAGAGGACTGCTATCCAAGGGCATTGTGATCTTGCATGACAAGATCACACCTCTGCCCATACTGTTGACATTCTGCAAAAACTTTGTTTTGAGATATTAATGCATTCTCCCTATAATCCTGATTTTGCTACATCAAACTTTGGTCCCCTGAAAGTAGTTCTTTGAGGATGAAGATTCACCTCTAATGAACTATTGAAGACAGTGATGTATTATTTGTAGCTCACAGCTCAGCATAAAACATTTTTAAATAATATAAAAGCTTGTTGCTAGATGGGCAAAGTGTATTGAAAAGCAAGGAGATTATGTCAAAAATTATGTATTTGTCTTTTGAAAATTTGATTAAAATTAATTCTATAACCATAGTGCAGATAATTTTTTGCTCACCCTCATAATTATATTTCTTTTAGAAAGAGCTGGTTTTGACCAACAGGATAGCAAAAGTATATTCAAGGATAATCAAGTTTCTCTTTTTATCAGGTGGATTGGAAAAAAGAAGAAAATACAGGCAGGAAGATTATCAAAATGCATCTGCAGTGTTTGCCAGGTGCAAACTGATAAAGGCCTTAAGCATCACACTGGGAGCAGGAATAGCAGAAAAGTATTGAGAAGAGGAATTTAGCTAGACTTGACTTCATGTTTTGTGATTTTGTTGTTGTTGCTGTTAATATCTTCAAAATGCTTTTTATCTGGGATAACATCCAGGAAACCCCTTAAATTAAACCTACTCAGGCAAACATGACTCTAGACTGTAGTCCATGTCAGACTAGATTTGCTAACACAATTGTATGTTTTCTTTCTGTTATGTCTTAATAGGAGAATTTATAATATTAATTTATTACAAGAGTGAAATATTATACAGCATTCTGAATTCACATTTTAAACCTATGCAAAGTACTCGTATCCATGGAACATTATAAACACATGTACAAATTTATTAATGCAATGATTTTTAATAGATTTTGAAATGATCCTTTAAAATACAATCTAATGCATTTTGTGATTTATATCAATATGTAGATGTTAAATTCTTTCATGAACAACTGGAAAAATATCACAAACAACATAAGGATGCAGTGGCGCTAAAACCCACCAGAAATGTCGGATTGCTGCTCATTAACACTAAGCTGCTAAAAGAAAAACTAATCCCATCACCTTTGCGATGCTTGGAGGTAAGTGTGAACTAGGAAAGAATTTTATTATGGTCTCTGCAGTTATTTTATGATTTTTTAACTGCAAAATTGCCTCCAAAAGTTTTATTTTCTAGTATTGAAAAGATTTAAAACTATTCTGAGACCACTGGACATCCTAAATTTCTAGGAAATGTTCCATATTCTTCTTGCTGCCTAAAATGTAGGCAGATTTCGGATGAAGGAAGAAAAGGGACTGGTGGCCTCAGATTAGTCACTCTGAGGACTGCAATGAACCTGACCCAAGCTCTGGTGTTTTCAGTCATCTCATATGCATGTGAAAACTGGATAATAAATAGGGAAGACTGAAGAATTGATGCATTGGAATTATGGTGCTGGCAAAATATATTGAAAGTACCATGTCAGAGCAAACAAATCTGTGTTGGAAGAAATACAGTCATTATGTTCCTTAGAAGCTAGGATGATAAGACTTTGTCTCATGTACTTTGAACACGTTATCAGGAGGGACCAGTGTCTGGAGAAGGACTTCATGCTTGGTGAAGTAGAGTCAGTGAAAAAGAGGCAGAGCCCAGTGAGATGGATTGACACAGTGAGATGGAATGCACCAATAGGCTCAAACACAGGAAAGATGGTGAGGACAGTCAGGCAGGGTAGTGGTTTTCAAACTTAGAATTGCAACATCAATAAGAAATGTATTTTACTTCACACCCCCACATCCACTGTATTAATAGGGAGAGAAGAAAACGCCAATTAAGAAAGGCAAGTTTAACACATATACAAATTATTAACTACAATTGGAGTAGCTAGAGATTAGCTAGTAATATTTAAAGAGGACAGCAGAGAATATAGGACTGTCAGATGTGAGGAGACAAATAGAACACTCTAAGGAGAGTTCCCACTGCCGCCATTACCACTAGGATTGAGAAGAAAGAATGGCAGAGTCTCACTGGATGAAAGAAATTGAGGTCACTTCCCCTCACACTACATGGCTACCACACAACTTGAAAGAAGCAAAATTAATGCTGAGAGGCTACCACAATAACATGAGCATGGCTCAGGGCTGACCTTGGGCAAGGCCAGCCTCTGACAAGGAAGGGTACTTACATGAAAGATGTCCATGTAGGCAAGCTTTTAATAAACTATGTAACACCTATCCATTTTGTGATAGCTATCCAATGATGTGCTGTTGGTTCATTTGAAGGAGCTCTGGTAGCATAATGGTTACAAATCGGGCTGTGAACCGGAAGGTCAGCAGTTCGAAACTACCAGCTGCTCCGCAGGAGAAAGATGAGGCTTTCTGCTCCCGTAAAGATTTATAGCCTTGGAAACCCTGTACAGGGTCGCTGTGGATCGGAACCGACTCGATGGCACTTAACAACAACAACAACAACAATCCAATGATGTGCTGTTGGTTCATTTGACAGGCAGTGACTTAATGAAAAAGTAAAAAATCCCGTAATAGGCAATGCTACCTCTAATGTCTGCTGATTTAGCTTATGTCCAATTAAGATGTCTATAAACTATATAATAAAAGGGAAATATTCAAGTATTTATAAATGATGTTTTCTTTTTCTTTCATAGGTGCTGAATTTTATGCTTCCTCGTCTAAGCAAGAAAAAAGTGGATGCAATTATCTCTGAGGCACAAGATGCAGAGTATAAACTTGAGTTTACTCCATCTACCACCATAGACTATGTCAATAGCTTAGTATTTCTTGATGAAATTCAGGAAAGGGTGAGTTGGTCACTCAAATTTCCAGATGTTTTGCTAGGTACGAGAGATACATGACAAGAAAACGTGAGGGACAGAAAATCAGGTAATGACAGCCAAGGTATCAGAAACATTTTGAAACCAAGTTAGTATATACCCTATGTCACAGTATAATGACAGCTAACATTTCTCAAACGTATAACATCAGGAGTGGTACTAAACGTTTACATGCAGTCCATTTTTGATCCTCACAAAAACTTGAGAAGTCAGGGTAATATTTATTCTCATCCTGCAGATGAGGAAACAAGGACTAAGACAGGTTACGTTGCCTAAGACCACAGAGCAGAAATGAAATTTAAATTTGGATCACTTTGACCGCAAAGGCCACGCTTTCAACTACAGTCCACTGCATGTCTTATTTGTAGATGGTAATAGAGATTTGTTGTTGTTGTTAAGTGCCGTCGAGTCCATTCCGACCCATAGCAACCCTGTACAATAGAGATTTAGATCCTAGATATTAGTTACAGTGATAGCCTTGATCCTCAGTCTGTATCTGTGTAATAGTCAGGATCATTTCGCTTACAAATGAAAGCTCAATTCACCGTACCTTAACTGGAGAAGTTGTAGGGAGAGAACCAAAGATTCAAGAATTCAAATGACGCAAATGACATAGTCAATCGTCTCGCTCTCTCACACATTGAAACAATAATTTCTGTTAGAAGGATCAGCACGAGGTTGATCCTTATGAGATGCCTCCACCCTTTAACCATGTTTATCACCTCTAACACCAGCGGTTCTTCCCACAGTACTCACTACTTACAATCTGGGCTTGATAATTCACTGCCATGGTCACAGAGAACTCAGACACCATCCTCAGAGTTATGGGGTTTAACAGGTTAAAATTCAGGGTCAGAAATATCCAGGGTACACTTCTTTCAGTCAGGACAGCTGCTCCCCTTCTGTGCCAACAGGCAGGCCCTTTCTGGCCCCGATTTGACCTTCTGCCCTGCTCTGGCAATGTTACATAGCTTTCTTTTTTCTTTTTCTTTTATTAGAATAACAAAAAATATTTTACTAAAACATAAGATTTACAAAAGTTTCCACAACAAGCCATGCAAACTGATCAGAAGCTTTTTCTTGAAGGAAGGATTCTACACTTAACAGCAAAGTCACAATGTTATTAGTGAGGGCTGTGATGTTTGTTTAATGTTCCCATTTTGGTTGAAACAATCAAGCTTGTCCATCTACAGCGTCTAAATAAAGTTAGACGTGGCCAGAGGGCATATTCTAAAGAACAACTGGTTAGCTGCTTTTAACCAATGCAAGTAGATCACCATAAAAAGGGGGAAAGGAGCCCATAAATTTAAAATTAAACTACCTCCTCCCTCAAACAAAAAAGTAAAAGAAAACACCCACACCCCTGCAGCTAACCCTGACAACTATGTTCATTCACAGTGCTTTATACTTAAACCATGATGGGGGAGAAATGCATAAAAGCAGAGAGGAATCACTGTTTTTAAACATTTAACAACAATCCAGATGATACTTCTAGCCTCTGCTCATGCTTTACAACAGTGAATCAGGACAAGACATATTTGGTAATGTGCATTTAATCACCAAAGGACTAAACATGTCTGGGCTTTTATTCTGTAATGTTTCTGAGACTGTGTCCATTTAAATGCAAACAAAAAAAGAAGCAGTCTTGGCAGAACGGGAGAAGTGATGCACACTTGGTGATCAAACTGATTTAAATACTATCCAAGGCATATAGCCTAGTCCATGCTCTCTAGCTGTTTCTATGGCTTGGGCTTCACTGGTCTTCCACTGCTCGGCTACATCTTTTGCAAATGGATCATCTGGATTGGAAGCACTTAACAAAACCTGGATGGATAGCCGAACTGTGCGGATCTGCAGTGCTGGGGACCACTTATCTTTTAAAATATCTAAACATATTCTTCCCAACTTGTCTACCTTAGGGTGATAAATTTTGGTCATGAAACATACTTTAGAAGCTGCCATTGGGTATTCTTCTGGAAGGAATAGTTCAAGTTTAAAAGTCCCTCCCTCAAAGGGGGAATCCTGGGGGCCAGCAATGACCACATGAAAATATCGGGTGTTGCTCTCATCTGGTTCTGCTTTCATGCCAGAACTGGTTCTGCCAGCAAATGCTGAGTTTCCTTAATAATCCTGCGGGGCAGCCCGGCCATCTTGTCAGATCCCGAGTTCGGCCTCGGCTCTCGTCTCTGGCTCTGCTTGCCTCACGCACGAGTTTACATAGCTTTTTTAGAGTTGTCAAGAAATGCTCAAAGGGCACTACACTCATCAACTGGCCTCAACTCAAAGGTGCTCAGCCCTAGTTCTGTGAGTCACCAAAACTAGATCCCTGGTGGCACCCCACGCTGTAAGTGACCCTTCTGCCCAAAGGCACCATGGGCTGGGAGCTCACCCGTCCATCTGATGCTCTGGGTCTTGGTTCTGCTCCTCTGCCGCTCCTCTGGGGTCACAGTGTTCTGTCACAGGGTAGAGGAGGTTCAATGCACAGTGATTTTGCTCCATTCCTGGCTTTTCTTTGAAGGTAGTAGATCTTGTATTCCTGCATTTGTGATGGCTCATATGATACACATTAGAGTTCCAAGTGTTTACTATTACAGTTAATCCTGTTAAAAACCACTCACAACTGAATCATATAATCCTATCACCATTTTCTCCCACCTTGTCTCACTTAGACCCATTAGGAAAAACAAACAAACAAACAAAAAACCCCAAAACATTGCTTGGTGGGAGTTACAAAGACTACGGATTAGATGAGCCACATGGAGTAATTCACAGCACTGCAAACACACACACACTTCTACTCTCATTCACTCCTTTACCTCCTTGCTGCTTTCTCACTGGAAACTCTTAGTGTCTGTCTCTCAGGCTCGTTCCAGTGGTAGGCAAGCTAGCATTTGGCTTTGGTGGCTAGTGGTGGCTGTGTCCCGTGGAGTCGGTTCCAACTCATAGCGACCCTGTACAGGGTTTCCGAGGCTGTAAATCTTTACGGGAGCAGAACGCCTCATCTTTCTCCCGTGGAACAGCTGGTAGTTTCGAACTGCTGACCTTGAGGTTTGCAGCCCAAATCGTAACCACTACGCTACCAGAGCTCCTTGCATTTGGCTTTAATAGTCAGTTATTCTTAAGTTTTCACTCCCATCAATTTGAACATCAGTGATTAAAATAGAGGTACATTATCTTCTTAAAAGAGAATTTGAAGAAATGTTACAAATAATAAGAATATAAACCAAATGAAGCACGTAATTAACAACTGGATAGTCTGTTATATATTGTTAACAGACTTAATAATGAGGGCTATTTCACATGCCTAGAAAAGTAACAATTTTGTTTCTCTATAGTGCCTTCTGAAAAGGACAGAAAATTGTAGACATTTCTCAGGATCGCTTATAGGTCATCTCAAGACTCAAAAGTTGTCACGCCTCTATGATACTTTTATCTATTAAGCCTAGGAATCAAATTGACTAGCCAATATCATCAGTCAGAAAAAGTGCAGAGGCCAACTGCAGAACAGACTATTCAACTGCTCATATGCAAGTTCAGTTGAAGCTGAAGACAATTAAAACAAGGCACGAGAGCCAAAGTATGACCTTAGGTTTGGTGGTGGTGGTGGTGGTGGTGGTGGTGGTGATGTGCCGTGGGGTCAGTTCTGACTCATAGCAACCCTGTACAGAGTCTCCAAGGCTGTAAATCTCTACAGGAGCAGAAAGCCTCATCTTTCTCTCGCAGAACAACTGGTAGTTTCAAACTTCTGACTTTGAGGTTAGCAGCCCAATTCGCTATGAGAGCACCTTAGGTATATTCCACCTGAATTTAAAGACCATCTCAAGAGTAGATTGTACACATTGAATACTAATGACAGAAGATCAGATGAGTTGTGGGATGACGTCAAGAACATCCTACATGAAGAAAACAAAAGATCATTAAAAAGACAGGAAAGAAAGAAAAGACCGAAATGGACATCAGAAGAGACTCTCAGACTTGCTCTTGGTTGTAAAAAAGCTAAAGTAAATGGAAGAAATGATGAAGTAAATGAGCTTAACAGAAAATTTCAAAGGGAAACTGAAGAAGACAAGATAACTTAAAAGAAATGTGCAAAGACCTGGAGTTAGAAAACCATAAGAGAAAATATGCTCAGCGTTTTTCAAGGTGAAAGAACTGAAGAAAACATTTCAGCCTCAGGTTGCAATACTGAAGGATTCTATGGGCAAACTCTGATGTGATGCTGTAGGATAAGCACTGGACTGCTAATCATAAGATCGGCAGTTCAAACCCACCAGCCACTCCTCAGAAATACTATGAGTCGGAACTAACTGCACGGCACATCACAATAACAGCATGGGAAAGATACTGAACCACACACAACGCATCAAAAGAGGGTAGACAGAATATACAGAACCATTGTACCAAAACATTGGCCAGCATCCAACCATTTAAGGAGGTAGCTGATGATCAAGAACTGATGGTATTAAAGGAAGAAGTTCAAG